AGGTCTAGGCCCGAAATGTCAGCCTTCCTGCTCCTCTGATGCTGCTTGGCCTGCTGTGTTCATCCTTGTTATCTCATTCTCCAGCATCTGCAGTTCCTACTACCTCCAAGTATATTCCTTTTTTTTTGTTAATTTGGAATACTTTTCTATTTTTCTGAAAAGTTGCATGCATTTCTGTGTTTGTTGAGTTGTGCTTTGTTGCGCACACACAATTCCAAACAAAATGAGAGAAAAAGGCTGCAATTTCCAGCCATTTCTTTTTCTGACCTTCTTGAAGAGATTGAAATGAAAATAGAAATTGAAGCATTGAAGTAAATCATTTGCTCCATTGTGCTTGTTGCACATCCAGCTGTTTATTTGCAGCCATTTGCCATATTCTCATTTCCATACAAAGGAATTTCTCTTAACCTCTAATGGAATGACAATTAATAACCACTCATTGCTAAATTCTAACCAGAAAATATTCCCTGTTTTATGCTGTCCCACCTTTTCTCAATTTTCAAGACACCTATTGAAGTATTTTCTAGGCCTTTCTGTTCCAGTAGAATCAGTCCGCATATCTCCTGTCTTTTCTCATTACTGTAGTTTCTGTTCTTTGCATGGCCTTGGTGAATCTATACTGAATGCCCTTGCGGTTCCATCACCTTGCAGTTCTAAATGGTATCCTAAGTCTTCATCTTAGTGGCAGGAAACATGATTTGTGCTCTCTATTGGTAAATGCGAAAAAATTGGCCTGGACCGGATGCTAATCCCTTTGGATACACAAATAGGGGACCAACCAATTGTTTGAGGCTCCCATTACCTGACCAGTTCTGCAAGCCAGGGCTATATGTGCCCTAATATATGACCCTTTATAAGGGGCTACCTGTTAATCTGTAGCCAAAAAGAAATGCTAATAAAATGTGGTTACCTCAATGTGGACCTAAGATGAGTGGTCATCCTTTCCAAGCACATTTTTTAAATTTGTGCATTGGATGAGGATGTTGCTAGCCAGGCCAGCATTTATTGTCCATCCCTAAATGCCCAGAGATGCAATTTAATCGTCAACCACAATGCTGTAGTCACATGTAGGCCAGACCAGGTAAGAATGGCAGTTTCCTTCCCTAAAGGACATTAGTGAACCAGTTGGGTTTTTCCAACAATCGACAATGGATTCATGGTCATCATTAGATTCTCAATTCCAGATTTTTTTTTCGTATTGAGCTCACATTAAATCTGCCACTGTGGGATTTGAACCCAGATCCCCAGGGTCTCTGGACTAATAGTCTAGTGACGACAACACCACTAGGCCATCACTCCCGATTCAAGGTATTCAATACACCTAAGTTCTGTCCACTATCATTCCCCACCCTCAATGCTATTTTGTCCCACTCCTGATACACTGCTGCTATCTCCTGTATGCCTCCTTCTCAGTGATTCCACTTCATCACTTACCCAGGTCACCAGCAACAGAATGATCTTCAATCAGCAGCAAGCCACAATTATTGTCTGCCACTCAACAGGCTAATAGTACAGGGAATTGAGGGCCATTGCCAGACAAGCCTCAGGCATTACCATTTGTTTGCAGAAATTGTCCCCCATATCCAAATTTTTAATAGCTCTTCGATCTGTAATCAGGCACTTTGAGATACTAGGATTGAATTGAAGAAGAAAGCGGGAAAGAAAGACTTGCATTCATAATCGTGGTTTTCTTGGCCCTGAATGTATGTAAACACTTCACAGCAAATTGAATACATGTAGTATGGCCGCTGCTAATGTATGAAATGCAACAGTCAATTTTGCACAAAGCAAATTCCCATAAACTGAAATGAGATAAGAAACAAATGATCACTTTTAAAATGATAAGGCAGATGGGACCTCCAATTTAACTCTCGGCCAAATAAAAAATGATACCTTCAAAACTTCAAAGCCAGGAAACTATAGACCAGTGAGCCTGACATCGGTGGTGGGCAAGTTATTGGAAGGAATCCTGAGGGACAGGATTTACATGTATTTGGAAAGGCAAGGACTGATTAGGGATAGTCAACATGGCTTTGTGCGTGGGAAATTGTGTCTCAAACTTGATTGGGTTTTTTGAAGAAATAACAAAGAGAATTATCATAGATCATAGAATCCCTACAGTGTGGAAACAGGCCCTTCGGCCCAACGAGTCCACACCGAACCTCAGAGCATCCCACCCAGACCCATCCCCCTATAACCCACCTAATCTACACATCTCTGAACACTACAGGCAATTTTAGCATAGCCAATCCACCTAACCTGCGCATCTTTGGACTGTGGGAGGAAACCGGAGCACCCGGAGGAAACCCACGTAGGCACTGGGAGAATGTGCAAATTTCACACAGACAGTCGACCGAGGCTGGAATCGAACCCGGGTCCCTGGCGCTGTAAGGCAGCAGTGCAGCGGTGGACGTGATCTATATAGACTTCAGTAAGGCGTTCGACAAGGTTCCTCACGGTAGACTAGTTAGCAAGGTTAGATCTCATGGACTACAGGGAGAACTAGCCATTTGCATGCAGAACTGGCTAGAAGGTAGAAGACAGAGGGCGGTGGTGGAGGGTTGCTTTTCTGACTGGAGGCCTGTGACAAGCAATGTTCCACAGGCATCGGTGCTGGGCCCACTGCTTTTTGTCATTTATATAAATGATTTGGATGTGAACATAGGAGTGTG